TTATTTCATAATCACATAACAAGTTAATAATTTTATTAAACTTGATCTGCCATTAAAATATAAAGTAATGCTAATATACAATTAATATGCTTTAAACCACTAACATTAACTTACACCAAGTTAATCACAATAGAATTTTATTAATTNTTAATCACAAGATTAATTAAAATTTATATATTTGACCCACTAGTCACACTAGTCAAGACCTAACATGTGGTATATACCCATTACCTATCCATTCCATATGCCATATTTTAAGTTGAAATTAAATCTAAATAGAGGAAACTCTACCTCTCGTAGCGTGAGCCCACTTACTAGAACGCCAAGGAAGCTCAAATTTAGCTTCCTAAGTTTTAGGCCTAAATTATCGGCTTTGATATTCTTTCGGAGAAAAATACGATATTTGGTGTGATTGCGTAACTCTCGCTGAGTAGAGCAACTTTAGTTCTTGGCCTGAAGCGATTAAACGGTCCAATTTTCGTAGATCTGAGAAAAAAGAAAAGAGGAAAATAAAAATAAAAAAAAACACTCACTTTTCTCTCTCTCACACTCTGTCTTACCGTCTCTCCAGAAGAAACAAAAAGTGGAAGACAACGTCTTCCACTTATATATATATATATATATATATATATATAGTATAAATTTATTTTTATTTTTATTTTTTTTGAAATTTATGTTTTTGACCCATAATTTAATAATTAATTATTATTTTACCCATTTTATTAGGATTTTTAATAATAATAATAATAATAATTTTTTTTTTTGGTTTTACAGGGCTAAAAAAGCTAATGAGCCGTAGACACCTAAAAATGAGACTATTTTTATTGAACCGATGGATTTGGAAGTGCCAAATTGGCCTAAAGACACATCTACGTTTGAAAAGGAAGCCTGAAACAGAATCTTAGTGCAACTTAGTGCAAAGACGAAATATAATTTCAACTTTGAATAGCTGCGAAATAAACATAATACTTTGAGAACAATTCATCATTAATATGTCTTACTTTAGAATGGTATTATAATTTTTCTTAACTTCCAATGTTACGTTGAAATGATTAAAAATGGGTTGTTGTATTGATATTTTGACTGTTTAATATCTTTTATTAATTTGGATTGATGTATTGTGCACTATTTTATAGGTTGATGGATATATTGATATAAATAATGCGGATATATATTAACATGAATTAATATAAAGGTAAAACATATGATAAAAAAATAAAATAGTTATCAAACATGTTTTCTGTTCTAATTTTTAGATTTCCTACAACAACAACGGCATCCAAATAAGTTTTCTGTTTCAACTTTTAACCACCAAAAAAAAAAAAATTTGATTATGTTTTTTTTTTTTGAAAACATGAAAACCAAAATGCTACTAAATGCAACTTTAAATAATAAGTTAGAGTTGTTTTGCATATTTTTGAAAATACTATTTTCAAAATTTAGAAAACACTTCCACCACCACACTCCCACCATTATCACAACCATCACCACCACACTTTCACCACCACCACATTTATGTTTTCATTATTTTCTAGATTACTGTCCAAATAAGTTTTAATATTTTCTATTCCGTTGAACTATTTTTGGAATCATATAACCAAATAAATTCTGACTCAAAAAATACAAAAAATAATTTTTAAACTCTTCGCAAAAATAATTTTCAGATACTATTTTTTGAAACGCAAACCAAACAGAGTCTAAATTTTTTAACACAAACTCAATTCGTTAAAACTCGACAAAAACCCGTCTCAACACGAACTCATCCACCCGAGTAGGAATGGCAGTGGACGGGGGATGGGTGGGGGAGAGTAGTCTTTACCCCCGTACTCGCTTCAAAAATATTCGTTCATCTTCGGTCCACCCCCGTTAGTGGGAGAAATTTTGGGAGAAATTTTAATCCCCGTCCCCACCATCATCCCCGTCCATAAAAAATAAGTTCTATGATTTTAAGAAAAACAATTTTAAAAAAATCATAAAACCTCACAAATAAATTTGCAAGAATGATGAAAAATCATTATATAACAAATGGATCAAATATAAAAACTTACAAAAATAATATATATATATATATATTACAGATTTAGCGAGGGGGACCGGAGGCGAGATAGGTATGAGTTTCAATTCATCCCCCGCACGGGTTTATACTGGTATCTTCGTATATGTCTACCGTCCAATACGCATAGTCCATTCTCGGTCCAAACGGGATAGGTTTGGATGAATATCGATTTTTCTTCGGTCCACTGTCATCCCTACACCCGAGACGATGACCCTCCAAATCAAACTGAATAAAACCATGCAGTATACAGTGACTATACACTCTTTTTTAGGTACATTAAAATAGATATATGGATAGGCTACTCCACCTATTCATTAAGAAACATTGCTATTTAGCTCCATACAACTATTTACAAGAGAACTCACGGCACCTAGGTCGGGTTCTAAGCTAGGGTCCTACTACATATTGTGGATGTTGAAGACTAAGTTTAGTCTCAACAAATTGTCGTAACTATAAAGACTTGATCGGGATCGAAGCTAAAGTCCTACTACATATTGTGGATGCTGAAGATTAAGTTTAGTTTCAACGAACTACCGTAATTATAAAATCCCAATCTGAAGCAACGAGAAAATTTCACTTCTTACCTAGACTAACAACTCGTTGGTGATTGCACACTTTTCTTGTTCCTTAGAGCAACTCCAAGGGAGAGTGTCATCAGGGGTGGCAACCCCATAATTGTCAAAATACCACCCCAAAATCAAAAAAATTTCCTCCAAGGGAGGTGACATCAAGGATTGAAAAATGACAACAATGGACTTGGATGGCAAATTTGCAAACTCTTGAGAGAGAAAGTGAGAGGCTACAAAGAGCTGTTGGTGTCTACTGTTCCTTCTCAATAGTTATATTCACCCCAAAAATTCTATAAAAATACAGAGAGAGTGAAAGGAAAAGGAGGCTTGCCTAAAAATACGTTGGTGTCTACTGCTCCCTGAAAATCGTTGGAAAGAGGGCAGGGAAATGAGGCGCAGAGGGCATAGGGAAAGGGAAAAGGAAAGGGGAAAGGGGAAAGGGAAACGGTGATTTTATTTATTTTTTAATTAATTATTTTATCTTACCTTTAAATTGATTATAATTTTTTTTTTGTAGATGGATTCGCAATTTGACAATTCTTTCACTAATTTGTTTATGAACGACAACGATTTATATGATGATGCTATACAGACCAATTTTATAGTATTGGCGCCAGCACAAAATGAAGCCGCTCCAAGAGTGAAAAAATCGCAAAGGACAAAGAACTTCTCTCTAGAAGAAGATAAATTAATTGTGTTTGTGTGGCTTAATACGAGCAAAGATGTAATAATTACGAATGAACAACAAGGTGGTGTTTTCTGGCATAGAATATTGAAATACTTATAATTTCATCAAGGCAATCAGAAAGAGAGTTTGCAAGCTTCTATTAAAAGCCGTTAGACTGATATAAATGCAAAATGAGACAAATTTGTCGATTTTTATAGTCAAATTGAAATATTGCGACAAAGTAAACACACCGAACAAAATAATGTAATTATTAAGCTTTTTTAGATAGACATTACTATGATTTGATATTTGAACTATTGACTAAATGATTTCATATGTTTTTCAGGTTGATGAAGCAAAAAAATATTTGTTAAGATCATTGAAAAACCATTTTCAATACAAGCATTGTTGGAATATATTGAAAATGGAGTGGAAATGAACTGATAATCTCACCAGCAATAAGAAAGCAAAAATTCGTTCAATTGGTAGTCCTGCTGAATCAAATCATGTTGAATCTTTGAATTTTTTTATTTAACTTCATATTTAAGGGATGACACTAAATGCTCGTCCACTCTCAACCTCGATAGGTCATTGGGTAGAAAAATTTCAAAAAAACAAAGAGAAATAAATCGGTGTTGAAACATCACTATATCATCACCACTGAAATCAAAGAATGAAAGTGGAATAGCAAAAAATTAAGCGGCACGACAAAATTTATGCTCAACAGGAGATAACATTTGAGTACAGTTAAAAATTGAAGAAAGATAGATGCAACAAAATAAAATGCAGAAAGAAATAAAAATCATGGAAATTGACACTAGTAGATGGACCCAATTTCTGCAACATATTAGAATAATCTAAAGATAGAGATTATGAAAAAATAGGATTAATTTTTAGTCATTATTTATTGTGTTTCTATTATTTTTAAATTTTTAGTCATTATTTAATATTTTTCTATTATTTATGAAAAACTATGCATTAAATTTTAATTATGGTGCATAAGTTTAATTATATTTTTTAATAATATAATTAAAAAAAATACTTTATTTTAGCACATGTCATTAAAATAAATTTATAATTTAGGAAAGTCAAAACATTGTTCAAATAAATTATTTGGCGCCTCCAAATGGTAACTGCCTTGAGAGTTGCTCTAACACTGAAAACCCTAAAACCACAAAAGCAGACCCAAATCACAGCAACTATGTCTCATCGACGTTGACTTCAAACGCTAACTCGTCACCATCGATTCCTTTTCTCCACAAACCCATCTCTTCAATACCTGAAACCCTAAACTCTCATTTCCAACAAACCGCAAATCGAAATTTATTGAATTGCCCACAAAACTGAATTCCCAAAGTTCACCACATTTTCACCAATCCAAGTCCCAATTTCATATCCAAGTTCCAATTTTTTCTGAACATTTTTTTTCTGATCAGAGAAATAAGAGCGATGATGACGAAAGTGAAGACGAAGGGAGTGGTGATGATGAGGGTGTATCGACGTCCAACTCATTGGAGGAGAGAGAAGAGGAGGCAAATGCTATTGGGTATAAAGTGATTGGACCGCTAGATAAGTCAGACCTGATTTTCAAGCCTTACGAACCCGTTTTCGCAGTTGTTCAGATGAAATTTGTCAGCTTTTGTTTTATTTTGTACTGGATTTGAGTAATTGAAATTCAAGTATGTGCATTGTTGATGAATTAACTGAAATGGCGTGTGTGTAGGTGATTGATATGGTTTATGTGCTTTGTATAGACAGGATCGCACCAGTTTAAGGTGAGCAATGGGGATAGCGTTCATTCAGAGAAGCTGGAGTACTGTGGAGTTACTGATAAGGTCAGTTGATTTGGTATTTGCTTGTGTTTTGCATAAATTTGTGGTGCTCTTTGGTTTGTAAGTTGCTCTTGGATCATTGATTAGCATGGATAATTGATACAAGTGGTGTGTCATGTGTGTGTATCACAATGAATTGTTTCTGTTGTTTTGGGTATGGGAAAAGGCTTGGGCTAACAGCCAAAATTTTATGAATGCGAAGTAGAGGGAAGCCGTTCTATGTGTATTATGCCAAATGTTAGAGCTATACCCATCTCTTTTCTCTCCTCTCAGCAGCCATATCAATCTGCTTTTACTTTTGTTGTGCGTGATTCAAGAGTACAAGGCTGAGTTTGGATGCCTCAGACATTTTTTTATGTAGAATGTGGAAGTAAGAAAATTGAGTACTCCAATATGGGTTGAAATGGATGCCATTCTTTCGAAGTGGTTTTGAGATGATGGATTCTGGTCCTTGATATTATGTGTATTATTGTACTATTATCCTTTTTTTTTTTGGAGAGGGGGAGGTGGAGGGGGGACTTGAACCCTTAACCTCAAGAAGACAACGCCTTCATAAGGTAAAGAATATCGTTAGACCAAAGGCCAGTTAGTTATTGTGCTATTATCTGATGTCCACACATGCCCTTGAAATTTTCATCTTTTTTAAGTTGATCCATTAACATGATCGAAAAAGAAGTTAATCCATTAAGCAGTCACAACTTTCTTCTGCCTATTGGAATAGAATGGTGGTTTCACTGGTTTGCATCAGGGCCCTTCGCAAAAATTATGAACTTTAGCACATTGGATACATTCTTAGCTTGTCACATCACTTGATATTCTTGTGATGTGTGAGCTCACAGTGGAACAATGTGCTTCAACAGGCTAGAATGGGAAGTTTTGGGTTCTTTGCTTGATTTGCACAATTTACAGTGATTCATTACCGTGCAGGATATTTTTTTGTGTCAATGTCACCGAACAATTAGTGGTCCACACTTCATTGTGTTTCTAATTCTCTGTGATTTCATGTTGATGAGATTTCTGTGGTTACAATCATATTGCATACTGTGCTGGAGATTAAGCTGTTAGTAACATCTGCCAATACAGGATGATGCTACATGACTCCACAATTTGTGTATATGAAAGAGAATTTCCATTTTTGCATACTGTGGTGAATTGAACCAAATATTGTTTCATAATTTGACTTTTTATCACGTTGCTCCTTTAGTATTTTCTTACAGGAAGCTGCACGACAGCAACTGTTTTAATCCCGTTTCTTGGTAATTTCCTTTTTTGATATGGCTTGCTATGTGATTGCTGTTCTAGGCATGGCTTTGTCTGTCTCTGATTGATATTAGCAGTTTAGGTGACACAGTCGTGCCTTGCGATTCTAAATTGACTTCATCACACCGTGGCTATGTATTTTTTAATTACTGTTTTGCCAGTATAATTAGGAGTAGCTTAATATTGGTGTCAGTTAATGCTTCTATGACGTGTTCTATTGCAGCTAATTTTAAACAGCTCTTGGTGGGCTCGAAAACTCAGACAATCATTGGTCGGCCTGCATTGCCTGATGCAGCAATTCATGCAGTTGTATGTAAGATAGAAATCTACTAAATCCTTTGNGAATATCGTTAGACCAAAGGCCAGTTAGTTATTGTGCTATTATCTGATGTCCACACATGCCCTTGAAATTTTCATCTTTTTTAAGTTGATCCATTAACATGATCGAAAAAGAAGTTAATCCATTAAGCAGTCACAACTTTCTTCTGCCTATTGGAATAGAATGGTGGTTTCACTGGTTTGCATCAGGGCCCTTCGCAAAAATTATGAACTTTAGCACATTGGATACATTCTTAGCTTGTCACATCACTTGATATTCTTGTGATGTGTGAGCTCACAGTGGAACAATGTGCTTCAACAGGCTAGAATGGGAAGTTTTGGGTTCTTTGCTTGATTTGCACAATTTACAGTGATTCATTACCGTGCAGGATATTTTTTTGTGTCAATGTCACCGAACAATTAGTGGTCCACACTTCATTGTGTTTCTAATTCTCTGTGATTTCATGTTGATGAGATTTCTGTGGTTACAATCATATTGCATACTGTGCTGGAGATTAAGCTGTTAGTAACATCTGCCAATACAGGATGATGCTACATGACTCCACAATTTGTGTATATGAAAGAGAATTTCCATTTTTGCATACTGTGGTGAATTGAACCAAATATTGTTTCATAATTTGACTTTTTATCACGTTGCTCCTTTAGTATTTTCTTACAGGAAGCTGCACGACAGCAACTGTTTTAATCCCGTTTCTTGGTAATTTCCTTTTTTGATATGGCTTGCTATGTGATTGCTGTTCTAGGCATGGCTTTGTCTGTCTCTGATTGATATTAGCAGTTTAGGTGACACAGTCGTGCCTTGCGATTCTAAATTGACTTCATCACACCGTGGCTATGTATTTTTTAATTACTGTTTTGCCAGTATAATTAGGAGTAGCTTAATATTGGTGTCAGTTAATGCTTCTATGACGTGTTCTATTGCAGCTAATTTTAAACAGCTCTTGGTGGGCTCGAAAACTCAGACAATCATTGGTCGGCCTGCATTGCCTGATGCAGCAATTCATGCAGTTGTATGTAAGATAGAAATCTACTAAATCCTTTGCATAAACTTTATGTGCAAACTAGTGGCTTATATATCTTGATCACATAGATAAAAAATCCTGGATGGTTGGATGTTAAAAAGATTCTCTTTCACCTTCCACCTTCTGAAAATCTATCACCTTCAAAAAATATAAAATGAAGATACGATGGACACTGGCAAATCTTTTCTTCCTGACAGTGATTATAGTGTTGGTTTTATGATAGGTTGTTCTATTACCATAACTGAGAAATGTGGCCCGAGATAGGTGAATATGATACATGCAAAGAGACTCACATAGTTGACATTGCCTTCTGCCTTCCGCCTATTGACAAGTGACTGGTGATAAAAGAATTTGAGATGTAACTGAATTTGCTTGAACATTTAGGCATGGGATGCGAAAGTGATAATTTTCAAGAAAAAAAGAAGGAAGAACTATCGCCGAACAAAAGGGCATCGGCAGGTAAATCACGAGTAATATAAGATTGATTTCGGACACTAGATGTCTTTCCCCTCCCCACTTCTTAACCCCCCCTTTTCTTCCTCTTCTTCCACCGCCCACCCCACTCTCACCAGTTGGCCCAGCACCTAGAAGAAAAGGAATGATTTGGTTTGTTTTTTATCATCTGATTGTGCTTTCAGGAATTAACAAAGCTGAGGATAACAGACATACAAGGAATTGAAAAGCCAGAAAATACAGAATCTGGAAACACCAAAAAGGCAGCCATTGAGAAGACAAAAAAGGTAGCGTTTGCTGTTTAGGAGTATAGATTTTGCCCATTGGCAATAGCATCTCTTTGTTGTTTTAACTTCCGTTTTTTCTTGTTCTTTCGTAATTGATGTCTCATCTTGTTATAATTATTGAGTTCTGACTAAGGTGCTTCGTTGCCAATGTACATCTTGGATTACATAGCATACAAAAATTCCAGCATTTGTTAGCAGGTGTTGTAGTTTTGGATACATTGGATAAAGTTCTTTTGTACTTAATAACACGTTGAGTTCATTAACCCTCGTGAGCAGCTATTTATCGGTGAAATCTATAAGTTTAGCATTTTTCTCTGAAGTTGGATGATGTCCTTTTAGACAGTAGTTTTTTTTTGCTCATTCCTCTGTTGTGGAGTTTTACTCAACTTCGGAGTTTACCGTGTGTCTCTCAGTGTACTCAATGTACAAGGGCATATTGCAAAAGGGGTTCGCAACATGTACTTCGTGGTTTGGGGTGGTATTTCAAACCCTTGGCAGTTTCTGGCAAACTGCGATGCAGAACGCGGCCGCCCCCCCACCGGGGCGGCTTTAAAGTTCCTCATGGTTAGAACTCACAAGAACTGGCCGGTGAGGATCACTGCTTGTGGAGCTGCTACTCTTAGTACCTGTTTAGTATGTGGGACAAAGGAGGACTTGGAAGATAGGTTGGGTCGGGAATAAAAGCCTATAAAACTCATTAAACTCATGTTTGACAATTACATTCACGTTATCAAACCTAGTCCGTTTTAGGCCCATAATTTAAACCTATGTTCATGGATTTTATGAAACCCGGTGAGGGGGATATGCAGGTTAAAGGGTTGAACATACAAAATAATATTTATACTCTCATATAACTTATATATCCCAAATAATCAAATATTTATACCCCAAATAATCAAATATTAAAATCATAAGGACACAAGAAAATGTATGTATATAAACATGGGTTTGAATTAGATTGATTAAGGGTTACAATAATCATTTATATACAAATATATTATCATAATAGTGATATATCCGTGCGCATATCAAATATGGATATGGAAGGGATTGAATATTGAATCTCATATTTATAGAAGAGTTTGGGTTTGGACAAATCAATCTAAACTTTTTCGAAAAAACTAACTAAATAGGTCGTTAGGGTGTGTTTGAATGCCTAAAAAAGATTAGATAGGATATCAAATTTATGTCTATTCCTACTCAGGTCTAACCCACCACTCACTTGCATTGGTTTAGATATAATGATATGTCATGTCCTATCTGATGTTTGTAAGTAATTTTTTGTTTTTGTGGAGCTCACAGATATGAATGATATCAAAAACATTATTTAGGTTAACTTGACCATTTTACCCCTTAACATTTTTTTTTTAAGAAAAACCACTGCAACAAACATCAATTTACATCCGTAACCATCCATCATCAATGTCCCAGCCACATACACCTCAGTCCATAATCATCCATTTCCACCTCTCCAACCCCTCTCTCTCTCTCTCTCTCTCTCTCATGGCAATTGGGTATAAACTCATACACAATATATTTATTGTACCTAACTTATGTATAAACTCTCTCTCTCTCTCACACACACACATATATATGTGTGTGTTTGTGTATATATAAACTCAGACATTCTGATTTTTTTGTAAATCAGCCCATCCCCATCCACAATAAAAAAACCCAATTCAAAAACCCTTGACCTTCGTCATAATAGTGTACCAGTCAAGCAGAGAGAGGGAGAGAGAGACCAAGATGGCTTGAAGCAGCTTCTTGTTCGCCTTCGTCGTCGCCTTCTTGTCAAACGAGTGGAACGAGAAAGGAGAGGGTTACATATGTCATTATCTAGAGAAAACCTATCAGCTGGGATTTAAACTCAGGGAGAATGTGGGTTTATTTTAACCCATGTAGGAGGGTGTTGTGATTGTGCAGCAATTATGGTGAATAGTAAGGAATCAAACAATTAAGAAAGCAAGAGAAAATAACACACAGAGATTTACGTGGTTCGGCAATGTGCCTACATCCACGAGAACGAGCGGCCGTTCTTTTTCATTATAGAATATGGTTACATCTTAAGTATTTATATAACCATAATATGGACGTATTTACAAAAATACCCCTGTACCGTACCGCGGGGGCGTTGCCCCCCGCACCCCCAACTAATCAGCGTCCCCTTTATATAAATCCCGCAAGGCAGATGCCGTCGCGGGCTACGTTCCGGCATCTGCCTCCTTGCCATTATGCACACAGCAAATATGAGCCACACATACTCTAACAATCTCCACCTTGGCAAATATTCACCCCTTAGAAGAAAAAAAAAGAGGACATGTATTCGGAAACTCCACCGGGGACGCTGAGTTGAGGCATCTCCCATCTAGCAACTAGAGACATTAATCAAGTCCAAGCAGTGCTTGAACTTGTCTGTAGTAACAGGCTTTGTCAACATGTCTGCTGCATTCTCAGAAGTGTGAACTTTCTCAAGTAATAGTTCACCAGAAGAAACCAGTTCCCTGATCTTATGAAACCTCACATCTATATGTTTGGTCCTCGCATGATACACCTGGTTCTTTGCCAAATAAATGGCACTTTGACTGTCACAATGCAATTGAACTCCACCTTGCTGGGCACCCAGCTCCTTGACTAAACCTGTAAGCCACAAAGCCTCTTTGGCAGCCTCAGCTACTGCCATATACTCTGACTCAGTAGTAGATAGTGCAATTATAGGCTGTACCATGGACTTCCAACAAATAGGTCCTCCCACAAGAGTAAACACATAACCTGTGGTAGACCTCCTGTCATCCAAGTCTCCTGCATAGTCTGCATCCACATATCCCATAACTGAAGGGTCACTCTGTTGTCTGCTAAACCTGATGCCATAGTCTGTAGTGCCCCTCAAGTATCTGAAAATCCACTTGACTGCATCCCAATGCTGTCGACCAGGATTTGAAAGAAACTTGCTAACCACGCTGACAGCTTGTGCCAAATCTGGTCTTGTACAAACCATAGCATACATCAAACACCCCACTGCACTAGCATATGGGACCTTTGACATGTCATGAACTTCATCATCTGTCTTCGGGCACTGAGCGGTAGACAATCTGAAATGATTCGCCAAAGGTGTACTTACTGATTTTGCATAACTCATGCTGAACCTGTCCAACACCTTCTCAACATAGCTATGCTGAGATAGCCATAATCTCCTGGAAGCTCTGTCCCTGCGAATCTCCATCCCAAGAATCTTCTTGGCCGCACCCAAATCCTTCATGTCAAATTCTCTACTCAACAAAGTCTTCAACTTGTTGACCTCACTCATACTCTTGGCAGCAATCAACATATCATCCACATAAAGTAACAGAAAAATAAATGAATCATCATCAAGCCTTTTTACATAGACACAACAATCATACTCACACCTTTTGTAGCCAATTCGGATCATGTAAGAGTCAAATCGTTTGTACCACTGCCTCGGAGACTGCTTCAGCCCATAAAGTGATTTCTTCAAATTACAGACCAAATGTTCCTCTCCAGGGAGACTGAACCCTTCTGGCTGTACCATGTAAATCCGTTCCTCCAAGTCGCCATGAAGGAAAGCTGTCTTTACATCCATCTGCTCCAACTGCATATCTGAATGTGCTACTAGTGCCAACACTGTCCTGATGGAAGTGTGTCTGACCACGGGGGAGAAGATCTCATCATAGTCAACCCCTTTTCTCTGTGAGTAACCCTTTGCTACTAGACGAGCCTTGAATTTTTCTCCCTCATTTTCTGATACTGCTTCTTTCTTCTTATACACCCATTTGCACCCTATTGCTCTCTTCCCCTCGGGAAGTTCCACCAACTCCCACGTCTGGTTCTTATGCAGAGACTCCATCTCCTCCACCATAGCACCCATCCATCTACTTTTCTCTTGGCTTTGTACTGCCTCCTGAAAAGTTGTAGGATCCCCGCTACTAGTAATAAGCGCATAAGAAACCAAATCTTCAAAACCATACCTGGTAGGTGGCTTGATATTGCGTTTGGGCCTGTCTGTGGCTATACTATGATGCTGTTGATCACCTGAGATAGAACGCTCTACATGCTGAGCATCCTCTTCTCTACCATGATTCTCTAGCTCCACCTGCACCACATGGTCATTAGTGCTACAGTTTTTTGGTACTTGTTTATCTTCTTCCTGAGTACGCTGCAACATGACTTTTTCATCAAAAATCACATCTCTACTGATCACCATCTTGTTTGCCTTCGGATCCCAGAGCTTGAAGCCTTTCACTCCTTTCTGATATCCCAGAAAGATACACTGTCTAGACTTCGCATCAAGCTTCGACCTCTCCTCACTAGAAACATGTACATAGGCTGGACATCCAAACACTCTCAAACCAGAGTAGTCTACCTCACTGCCTGTCCACACCTCCTCTGATACTTTCCCATCTAGTGCTGCCCTCGGTGATCTGTTAATCAAGAAACATGTCATATTCACTGCCTCTGCCCAGAAATTCTTTGCAAGCCCTGCATTCAACCTGAGACACCGAGCTTTCTCGGCTATCGTTCTGTTTATCCTTGTCGCTACACCATTTTGTTGTGGTGTCTTGCGGACTGTGAAGTGTCTCTTGATCCCATGCTGCTCACACAACTCCTGGAACTTTGAATCTGTGTACTCAGTACCATTATCTGACCTGAGGCATTTAATCTTCCTCCCTGTCTGGTTCTCTACTTCAGCTTTCCACAGCTTGAACTTGGCAAACGCTTCTGACTTGTGCCGCATGAAGTACACCCAGACCTTTCGTGAGTAATCATCAATGAAACTCACGAAATACATGTATCCTCCCCGTGATAGTACGCTAACTGGTCCCCAAACATCTGTATGGACATAGTCGAGAACCCCCTCTGTCTTGTGTGTGGCTGTCTTGAACTGCACCCTATTCTGTTTTCCAAGAACACAATATTTGCAAAAATTGAGCTTGCATGTCTTGACACCCTTCAATAGATTTTTCTTATGAAGCTCTATCATCCCACGCTCACTCATATGACCCAGCCGCATATGCCACAAGACTGTATTATCTGATTCAGACTCTACAGCAGCAACTCCACCTACAATTGTAGTACCCAGCAGTCTGTAAATGTTTCCTACTACTTTCTGTCCCTTCATCACTGTCAGCATGCCTTTACTTACTTTCATTACTCCACTTATAGATTTGTAACTATAACCATTACAATCCAAAGTGCCCAATGAAATCAAATTCTTCCTTAGATCCGGTACATGTCTAACATCACACAACGTTCTAACCATACCATCAAACATCTTAATTCTAATATTTCCTATTCCAACAACTTTGCAAGATGCATCATTACCCATCAGAACAGAACCAGAATTTACTGACCTGTAGGTGTCAAACCAATCTTTGTTGGGTGTCATGTGATAGGAACATGCTGAATCCATAATCCAAGAATCTGTTAAACGATCTGAACTAGATAAAACAGAAAGCATATCTCCGTCACCACTCTCTGAATCTTCTTCTTTCACTACGTTTGCAGACTTTGATACACCCTCTTTGTTCTCTGAATCCCCTTTCTTTTTCTATGGACAGTCCCGTTTAAAGTGCCCCTTTTTCCCGCACTTGTAACACGAGACAGAGACGTCCTTCTTCTTCTTCCTCGACTTGGACCGGGCTTTATTGTTACCCGATCCATTCCGA